AATGCTAGAAAAGCTTAAAATTCAATCCAGTTCAAGTTTTATTGGAGGGGATATCCTCTGCACCAATCCCCCTTCCTAATATCTAATAGGCCTGTCGAGGACAAAAGAGCGATATGCTTCAAAAGTACTAACAGTACTTAAAAAAATGACTTCTTCTGGGTCCCGTTATCCGTAGGGTATTAAAAGGTGTTAATATAAATTTGTTTTAGATGTGATTAGCTTACTGAATGAAGGTAACAGAAGGGTGTTAATACATGAGGTTTAACACATCAGATTCAAATAGTAGAACTATTACCATCATTTTCACTGCTTGAATAAGAATTAAAGTAAAACTAACTTTGGTCTCTGTGTTATTTTAAACAAAAATTCCCTTTTTAGCCAGAATAACATTTGCAAAATGTTGATGAGATTTTATGTTTTGAGAATAAGTATGCTGGTGGTTGTGGTGGTTTTTAAGAGAGATTCCTGTCTGCCATTGTATTTAGCTCTTTGTGCAGGATGGAGGGCCTGACAAGGGCATCTGTCTAGTCTTTCGGATGGGACCAAGGTCCTGTGTACACATTGGCATGCACATAAAAGATCCCTTGGCAGTTGGAATTCGATATAAGAGTAAGCCATAGGGCCGCTGCCTGGGCAAAATTTCCCTCATAGCACACTGTATGGATGGCGTATGCCCATCTTCATTAGCTCAGTCGGGGCAGAACAGAAGGACGTTAAACCCCATTTCATTTCATTTCATTTATTTAGCTCATCAAACTGTTTTTTGCTGGGACCATTATGGAATTTAAACCTGGTGCAATCTTGTCACAATTTGAATATCGTGTCCTATTGATTCCTAACTATAAGAGTATTAAGAGTACCACTACACACACACAACAGAAAAAAAATAATAAAATTCATCAAAGTAATTTTATACCTTTTACAAACATGTAGAATAATTTAAAAAAAACAATCTACCCAATTTGAAACAGTTTAATATATTTGATATTGGGTACTAAATTCCAGAAAGTATTCATAGTGTATGATGTTCATATTATACATGTGTCCACCAAATCCAGAAAGTACTCAGAGTGTATGAATGTCCATATCATACATGTGTCCACCAAGCGGAAAAAAATTATAATTTTTTAACACATATGATTTTTTCAATTGGCTAAATTTAAATTATAACGACCTCTGTGTACTAAATTCAGACAAGAAAGAATGTTCAGAATGAATGAAATATTTTATCTAAGGTACTTAGAGCAGTATTATCAAACAAATTTAAATTGCGATTTTTAGCTATCAAACAATCCTGAAGATAAAAAATACATTTCAAGAGAATAAATGAAAATAATTTAGAACGTAATAAAAATAGAGTAATAGAATGTAAAGTACAACTGAACAAGTTTTAAAGATGTATATACCGGTCTTTATGTTCTTATTGTCAACAGAAATTTGTTTGTTTTTTTCCGCTCTTGAAAGTTATGGGTTAAGATGTCATGAATGGTATTGACACAAGGTGTTCTAAGTAAGTCTGTATACTTATATCTAATGTGGATCCGAAGAATGAGACACAGGCACAGTATAGTTAGAAATCATAATAGTTTGTGACTATGCATAATCCTCCAATATTTATAAGACCCCTAGGTATACATTTATTTGTATGTAATTTAAAGGGACAATCCCGATTTTAGCGGAGTCCCAGAAATAAAAGTTGGTGTAAGTATGAAATGTTAGTGCCAAAATATAGACAAATGGTGTATTTACCATGTCTCAAAATTTCAAAACAAAATATTGAGTCATTTGAACGTGAACGTCAAAACCGGTTATCCGGACACATAACCCTTTCAAGATTTCGGGTCAATTTTTTCATTGGGTGACCTGATAATCTATTGCCATTTCTTTAGAGGTCTATACAGTGTATGACCCACATGCTGTACATGATAATGAAACGTAATTTTTGTAAAATAAAAATCTGGTTTTATCCCAACACTGTATAATACACCTTGGGACATCGGTCTCCATTTTCAAATGGAGACTGACAGGTTTAAGTTGTTTGAAAACATATCACGTTTATTGCGTTAGTTTCTCGGCCCTTAGATAGAGGATTTTAAGAGCTTTTAACACAAAATTAAGCAGTTTTATTCACCAAAATCTAATCAAGATTTGCCCTTGAATATAATAAATGACATCAGTTACAGACCTAATAGTACTAATATTACCAACAGGTGTCAAAGTACAATTTCAATGGGTTGTTTGTTCAATAAATCAGGCCCCGAGTTCACAAAGCATTCTCAGACTTAAGTTAAGAATTTACTCAAATTGTTCACATTATTTTAACTATAATATAGACCTTTACAGATGTTGAACATTTCATTTTACTGTTGTTGACCTGACTTTACAGATGATGATCGAACATATTGTTTTACTGTTGGTGATCTGACTTTACAGATAATGAACATTTCATTTTACTAGCTGTTGGTGATCTGGCTTTACAGATGGTGAACATTTTATTCTACTGTTGGTGATCTGGCTTTACAGATGGTGAACATATTGTTTTACTATTGTTGATCTGGATGTATAGATGGTTGACATTTCATTTTACTAGCTGTTGGTGATCTGGCTTTACAGTTGGTGAACATTTCATTTTGTTGTTGTTGATCTGGCTTTACAGATGGTGAACATATCATTTTACTGTTGGTGATCTGGCTTTACAGATGAACATATCATGCAACTGTTGGTGATCTGGCTTTACAGATGGTGAACATTACATTCTACTGTTGTTGGTCTGGCTTTACAGATGGTGAACATTTCATTCTACTGTTGTTGGTCTGGCTTTACAGATGGTGAACATTTCATTTTACCGTTGGTGATCTGATTTAAAAGATTATGAACAGATCATGAAGATATCATTCTAGGATATTATAATAAATTATTGTCCCCCGCCTTTCGAAGAGCAATTGCGATAAATAATTCGATTGGTCAAGACTTTCGAACATAATAACTCTGCCTTTAATTGAGTTCAATGATAATTTTACCAGTTAAAGCTAAGCAATTTCATTGGTCGATGCTTTCGGACAAGATACCATTGTTTCTAACTGATGGAGAGTGCTGAAACTTAGTGTAGTGTATAATTTCACTACCATGTACTGCAAAACCTAAGTTTGATTGTGAACATTTTCTGCTTAGAATAAGCATAGATAAGTTTGATTACTCAATACTTTTATAAAAGATGAATGTACAGTTAATTTATATGTGTCATCTGTTTATTTTGGGATTTCTGCGGGGGACATCAGCCTCACTGTTGACTTGTTCTAATTCTAAATCAATATAACACATCTCCTAAAAATTTTTCGCTGATTAGAACAGAATTTTATTGCCGAATAAATTAATAATCAGGCCCAAGACCAAAAATTATTTAGGACTCCCATTAATTCATTTTGTTGACATTATGCTTCCAGTTCAGAGGAGTGGTAGTAGGTGTTCTAGAAATAGTAAACAAACCCTGCCTTATTCATGACACCTGTCACTATTTACAGCTAAATGGAGCTAAGCTGACCATCAGACATCTATATGTTCTATTTTTAACCTAGTTGTAATCTTGTCCCACATCTTATATTTAAAAAACAAAAACAAAATCTATTTATGGATAATGAAAAGTTTACAATCATGCAATTATAAAAATTATACTCTATATTTTTGATCTCAGGCTTATAAATGGAGCTTTGCTGACCATCAGACATCTACATGTTCTAGTTTTAACCCAGTTGTAATCTTGTCTCACATCTTATATTTTTTTTAAAAAATTTTTAAAAATCTATTTATGGATAATGAAAAGTTTACAAACATGCAATTATAAAAGTTATCTATATATATATTTGTGACTATCGTTTGTCTGTCTGTCTGTCCGGGCTTGGCTGACCATCAGACATCTATATGTTCTAGTTTTAACCTAGTTGTAATCTTGTCTCACATCTTATATTTATTTTTTTTTTAAATCTATTTATAGATAATGAAAAGTTTACAAACATGCAATTATAAAAGTTATACTCTGTATTTTTGATCTCGGGCTTATAAAGTCAAACCGCATACATCTCAACTACTATAATCTTTTTACAACCAAGGTTTCGCTTAAAATGTGTAATTTAGTAATTATTTTAGAAACTTGTCGGATGATATTACCATTTACTTGTAAAAAAAAAAATAAAAATAAAGTTTACGAGTGGATCCTAACAGACATATTATCAGGTAGTGGCTGAGAAACTTGAGTTTTTGCCAATCCATCTGAGAAAACGTAACATGGTACTGTATACTAGGTAGTAGCTGATGAAGTCATTTTGATGAAGGGGGGGGGGCGGATTGGATGGACGAATGGTTAGCGTGTTGGCTGTATCATAAAGTGTGTCATTGAGTCAACTGGCGTGGATGGCCGAATGGTTAGCATGTTGGCTGTATCATAAAGTCTGTCATTGAGTCAACTGGCGTGGTTTCAATTCACCAGTTGTACGTGACAAGGAGTAGGGTTGCCTGTCCAAACTTATGGGTTTTCTCTGGGTCCTCTGGTTTCCTCCCACTGCTAAAGACCCCTATGCGTAAGCGAATTATTGAAATAAAATTGAACCATATGTTAGGCCCAAAATGACCTAGTTTGAGTTGAGCGGACATTAAACCCCATTTTCTCTCTCTCTCTCTCTCTCTCTCTCTCTCTCTCTCTTGACATACTAATCCATAGTAACACTGACATTAAATTTTTGTGATTGTAAATCAGGAAAAAAAACATACCAATCATAAAAGATATAGAAGGCAATCAGAAACTGTTTTTCCATTTTCCATGACAACACCGTCAGTCGAGGCTATTTACTTTTGTTGCCTGTCTGTTCCAATTTAATATTTCAATTCTACATTTGCATAATCCTCAGATCAATAATTTTCCAAAGATACAAGAGCCATAATTTATTTAAAAGGTAAAAAAAAGCTTGTTAATGATGAACTGTTAATTTGTTTATCTTCTCTTGCAGGTGTTTAAAGAACGAAAGCATCCATCGGTAAGTTAAAATTATTGTAGATTAAAATCAATTAAAAAATCAATACTTTACTTTTGATAAATATTTAAAATTCATTGGATTGGGATTTGGATATTTTGTTAATTTCTGAGTTTCTTGCAGACAACTGGGTATTGATTTATCACTGTAATAAAGCAAAAGCATGAGAATTTAATTAATTTTAAGTTTTATTAAAAAGAATTAAAGGCATAATGTTAATAAATGATATTAAAGGAGAATTGTACACAAATCTTTTAGCAAGTTGCGAAAGACTCTTACAGTCCAGTATAATTATTCAGTGATACCTTTTCAGTTGGATAATCATGTCTAAATACTTGCTGAAGTTATAGTGCTGAGAGATAGAGTTTAATGTCCACTCAACACAAACTAGGTCATTTCAGGACTAACATATCTTTCAATTTTATTTCTATAATTAGCTTGTGCATAGGGGTCTTTAGCTGTCGCAGGAAACCAAAGGGCCTGGACACTCAATAACAGACCTTGTGGTCTTAACGGACACACATTAAACCATTCAGCACAATTTTTCGCACAATTGAAGAATAAAATTCCCTAAATGAGTAAAGTCGTTTATGCAGATATGGTGCTCAGTTCTCTGAATTAAAATTTTCAGACAAGATAAATTAGCCATGTATATACATCTGTAGTTACATTTTGGTGTTTGGTTTATATAATTAAACCCACGTTCTGTGTTCTGTGAAATCTACAACTTTTCCTTTTAATTATAAATATTTTGTAACTTAAGTTACTGTAACTCCTGAAAATTTTGGACATCCCCTTTATAGATATTTTGTATCTTGAAAAACACCCTAAACAACCGAAGGTTTAAGACAGCCCTATAAATAATAAACATCTCGTAACTTGTGTTAACTCTGGAAAGTTTATTTTTGCTTTATCAAAAACTGAAAAAAAATTGTCTATACTATTAACCGGTTGCCAAATTTTTTATACAGACCATACGTTGTAAATCAATGACAATGAGATTTATGTTACCATTTAGATCTTGTATTTCATACTTTTGATAGCATCTTATGATGCTGAATTCGATGAATTGATCCCACACATTAGAACAATATTGACATCCCTTGTTGAAATCTCTTGGTCCCATCAATAACTTGATTGTGGGTCCTCGTTCATCAACCGATATCAATTTTTGTAACTTTTTCCTCTTTATTTGTTCTGCCTATTCTTACAGCGGAATATTTATCGAATCAATGATGTAGCGATATGTCACGGTTTGACATATTAGATATTCCACACAAAAACTTCTAGCTCTTCTTGTAGACGATTCGATACCATCTAATGTCAACCCTGCATCAGGTTTGTTAATCAGAGAGGTTGGAAAATAAACAAGATTGAATCGAAGTGTTCTTATTTTTTCCCCCGTCCATTGTAAACATTTTTTACGAACGTTTAACTGATGCATTACCGATAATGAATAATTATGACTCATAATTAATATAAAGTGGTGAAACCAATTGTTAATTGATGTTACATTGTGCTAGCTCATGAATGAATAATTCAATTCAATTACAGACATATGTAATTGCGCAGCTTTACAATTATTCGATAACGATATCACACTATTTAACTTGACAATTATGTGTGCACATGGCATCTGTTTATGCAATGATTTACATATAAAATTGGTATTGCTTCAGGGTGATAATTAAGATTTAATTAAATTGTGTTATTGTCTGTTGAGAAGTACCATAGTTTGCATGCATCGGATTTAAAACCATGTCCATGAGGGCAAATTAATGATTTGATCGATGTGTTTTAAATGACTAATATTTGAGTTAGGATTATTGTTCTTTAGGTTTAATCAATATGGCACAAATGAGAGAACATTTTTAATCAGTTTTTGTAGATTCAGTTTTGTTGCATACTATGTTGCTATACTATTTGGTGCTAAATACCATTTATTAATTAGCTGTTTGTACTTAAAAATAAGGGATGTACTTCATTTGTAGCATGAATGGTTTGGGGTTAATCTTCTCTAGATCGGATGGCCCCCTCCCATGACTTTTTAGCTTATCATGTATATTTATTAGTAGTAATACATGTATCGTATGTTATCAAGGAGTAAAGTATACATCACTGTTGACATGATATAGATATATATCTCACATATCTCACCTCACTTTACTTAATGTCCATTTACACACTAGGAAATATTGATTAAAGTAAGATTCTCTTCTACAGTTAAATACACTAAACATAGGACCAACAAGTCTCCAACTGTTATAATTGTAATTAGATTAGAAAGGAAAAGTCAATAGGTTGTCAATTTCAACATTTTGGTTTAAGTAAGGCACCCACAACTTTTCATTAGTTAATGTACAAAGACAATCAAATCATGTGTCAATGTCTATTCTTTGAAAAAGAACCATGGTGAAATTATATTGATTTTCACAGGTATTAACCATGAAGTAAAATAAAATTTTAATTTCATATACCTCCCGGTAGCTTGATTAAACCTCATGAATAAAAAACGATCTCTGTTCACAACAATGGCTTTGTAAAATAAACAAAGATACATATAGCCATGTTTTCTGGTACAGTAATTTTGAGATTATTTTAACACATTTTTAAATGTAAAAGATGATTTATTGTCTTTTTTACCAAGTGGAATTGATATTAAAAGATATCCTTTAGATATAATCATGTATGGGGTCCAGATTTAGGGCTTATAAATAACAATTTATGGCATGATCATTTCCATTAATGTAAAAGAAAAAATCAATTTAATTCACTTAGATATATTTGTTAGTTTATTAGATAAAGTTTTATAAACAAAATGAAGCCTTTTGGGCAGAAGCCTGGATTAGTTATGGTGCTGTTATCAGATAATATATCTGTTCATAATTATTTATTACAGACGTACAGGTATTAAAGCATGTATTGGTTGTCATTTGCATTTCTTTTGACAATTCATCAGATCTTAACCGAACTATTTTTGAACTGATAATTCTTTTAGAGGTTTTGATACCCTGGTTGTACTCAACAAGGAGTAGGGTCGTCTGTCCAACATCATGGGTTTTCTCTGAGTACTCAGGTTTCTTCCAACTGCTAAAAACCCCTATGTGCAAGTAAATTATTGAAATAAAACTGAACCATATGTTAGTCCCGAAACGACCTAGTTTTTTGAGTGGATGTTAGACCCCATCTCTCTCTCTCTCACTTTTAGAAATTTAAGTTTCACACTATTGTAGTTTGTCTCGAGGTATTTACCTTTTTTATGAGGAATGAGGTATAATATGTTGGCAAGTGGGAGACAAATCATCCAAGTCTCTCATATAATGTGTAAGTAATATATGGCTAAATAGATTTAAGTTAATTTTGTGACAAATTATGATCCACCTTAACATAGAAAATTATACCTTGTGTTAGTCTCAAAAAGAAATAAATAAATATATAGAGACACTAAAACCTACAGAAATGAAATGAAATGAAATGAAATGGGGTTTAACGTCCTACTGTTCTGCTCCGAACTGGGCTAATGAAGACAGGCATACGCCATACAGTGTGCTATGAGGGAAATTTTTCCCGGACAGCGGCACTACAGCCTACTCTTCTATCGAATTCCAACTGTCAAGGGATCTTTTACGTGCACGCCAATGTGTACACGGGACCTCGGTTTTTCGTCCCATCCAAACACCTAGACAGCTGTCCTTGTCAGACACTTCGTAAAACCTACAGGTGGTGATTTCATGTGTGTTCTTGCAAACAGTTATTGTATTGCACTGCATTAAGAGAAGCAAATATTCCAATCATTATTTTAAAATTTGGCATGCACAAAACTCATTTGAGAACCGAGAACCATGAAATTAAAGTATGGTTTCTTCAAGTTCACTTGGTATAAAAAAAGGGACAATGTGGCATACATATTCATATTTCCACTCTACTAGCTTCTAATTGGTTTAGAAAGAAAAGTGTGTGAAATGAATTAATCGCAGAAGCTTCTAAAATGTGCATGGTTTTAATGATCAAACCGCACGTCGTTACCCATGTGGATCACGTACTGTGTTTCTTGCTGTATTATTTTAGAGACCTACCAGGAAGACGGACAAACTTATCAAGTATTAACGATTTCGTTAATTACCATTTTTTATTGCATATTGATCAAAAGATGTTCTCTTTTTATCACAGGTTAACAAGCCCATTAATAGATTTTCTGCGTTCTTTGACTAAATCTGATCACTTCTACAAACAATCTAGCTGCTAGGTCTTTCAGCTAGCAGATGGATCAGGTATTAAAGACAGATTTTTACAGTAGACAGATTTAAACTTTTTATTGATATATAATAAATTGATATGTACTGAAATTAGAGACAAGCATTAGACATTCATTATCCTCCGAATTATCCGCTAAATTTGTGTAATTATGAAGTAAAAAAGGAAATATTATGACTGTTTTTATCTTAAGTGTATTTGTGGAAAGCTAACCGCAGTTTGTGAGCAATCTGGTTTCCGGTATGTTGTTTTCAATCCTGTTAATACATTTTGATTGTAGGGTTTATTATGGACATTTCCTCAATATAGAGAAAAAAATGTGGTTTAACATCCATTTAAAACTAATCAGCACTGGCTTTCCTTCGCAAAATTGAGAGATAAACTGGGCAAAATTTATATTTTCTTTTAGCCCAATGTTATATAATTTTAATAAATTATAAACAAATTTATTTTATTTAATTGATAAGTTGGTGTAGTTACGTTTAATTACATGTGATGTTTCTCAACCACTTAATTTATTAATGCTATATTTATCATTTCATCATGCAGGAAATATGTATAAAAACAAGTAAATTATCATGAAAATAGGCGTGATATTTATCATCTTTTCAGTAATATGCAAACAACCTACTTACGTCTTGCGAATATGAATTACCATTTAAAAATGATCTTGTTACCTGTCAGAAAGAAATATGAATAACAACATAATTTGCAACCATGCTATCGTCTGACAGGATTCATTTGCTCTG